ATGTTTCGGACAGCTTGAAATCCGAAAGATCAATTTTTGGACAAAATCGTCACAAGCGATCAGCGGGAAACACCATCGAGAAGCGGCCATTTTTGATTTTATGTTTGCTGCGCATGGATTGGCTTGGTTTGGCAGGGCTACTTAAATATTGCTAAGTCACACTGCTAGGTGACGATGTACAGCTTTTCTTTTTTTCTCTAGCTACACGTCACCATCATCATCATCATTGTTGTTTCCATTTTGCTTCGTTAATTCGCCATTGCAGTAGTGGATTTGCGCCTCTCATCTCGACTCCGTGAATTGTGTTTTCAGACTACACTGGCTTGGACGTCATTGCCCCATCTGTTCTTCCGCCACTGCGATCTGTTGCCAAGAAGCGCAGAAAGTACTCGACCCTAATGCTAGAAAAGAAGGCCGCAATTCTCAAGGTAACAGAAAGTTGCCGAACGCAAACGGAGGTGTAACCTAAACAAGGTGTGCAGGCGTAACCTGAAGTAGGGCACTATTTACGTTTTTTTAAAGCCCGCTTAGACGTAATAAAGGCAAGTTTTTTAATCTGCTGATTTTTTTAACTGCTCTATTATTCAGACGTTTTTCCGGTCCCTGCGAAGTTCGAAAAATCACTCAGCCACTGTACTTTGCATTTCTCGTACGCCTGCATTATGGTAATCCTCATAAAAATAAAATAGTGTACTTAAAGAGGCCCTGCAAACCTATGTCTACCTTTTTTGCAGTTTCCACATCTCTTGTGGTTCGGACAACCCAGCGGGCACGGAGAGAGTCAGTAAATATCAGGGTGGCATATTTTAACCAGATGTTGCGGAAGCCTCCTCCATCTACGGGGGTGCACCATAATACTGAACGCGCGACGTGCGACGACATCGTGACGTTGTTGGTCCTGGCCAGCTCCTGCCTGACAACTGGTCAGAGCCATTAAAAGCTTTTTTTTAGTCGAAATACAAAATATAAGTGGCACAAACCAATTCAATTATTTATGAAAGCAGTTTCTGTTCAGACTTTTAGATAAAAAACAAAAAAACAAATGCAGTTTATAAACTACAGAAACAAGAAATAACCTCCCGGCATACCCGCCACCAAGCAGTGGAAAAGGCGGTGCACATTAGAAAGGGGTAGTGGGATCAGGTACCGACGTACGCCGCGCATTGCTGTGAAGAGCCGAGTGTAGAAAGGTCCCGGATGTACACGGCAGCGCTGCGGTTGTATGGGCTAGAGCAGGGGTGGCCAAGCTGCGGCTCTTTGCGTGTCAAAGCGTGGCTCGCGGCTCCCTCACCAACCCCATCCCCCCCCCCTCCCCCCATTCACACGAGCACTTCCCCAAAAAGATAAATGGAACGCATTTTAAATTGAAAGAGAGGTTGCGGTTTGGTAGTCTCGGTGGGACTGCTACCTTATGCACAGTTGGACTGCTTTTGACTCGGATAGATTGAAAGCAGTTTGAGTCTCGTTTATTGCTTTGAACAAAAACTTGCCCCCCCCTTCCAGCTCTTGGAAGTTTCGTTGTTTTGTTTGCGGCTGTTAGGCCGGGTCAGCCTGGCCACCCCTGGGCTAGAGGATCTGAATGGTTCCGAGCGTTCCAAAGGCCTTCGGCGAGCAGGTTTGGCTTGCGGTTTGACCGTTTGGCGGTTTGGCAGAGCGAGGTGGCTCCCCTTCTGAACTGAACTTTACCCCGTGTTTGCTGTCGTTTGTGGCCAATGAAGTGTCATGCTGAATTAAAGTTTAGTCGTGCAGCAAATGCAATGCAAGCCACCCTGGCCGCCCGCTTCATCCAACCTATCCAGCACATGCTTTAGTGACGCCCTCTCGAGCCGTCGACATAGAGTGCGGCAGCCGTGAGCGCTGGCTGAGCTCACTACCCCTCCTCTAGTTCACAACCACCGAAGTCAGGACCAGGGACATCATAAAGGTGGTTATTTTTTGCTTGTTTTTTAGTAATTTTAATTTGCCTATACATTTTCAAATAAGGTGAAATTCGAGAAAAGAAAAGTATCACTAAGTTACTACGTTCGGTGTACTCTGGTTCGGCGCAAATTAAAAAGAAACGGTTAAAAAGTCCTTGCAGGGCCCCTTTAAGAGAAAAATGTAGGTGCACCGCATTCACCTGTAAGCTGACAAAGGCAGCAAAAGGTACAACCCCACACGCCCTCCGCTAGTTTACGGCAACCGGAAATGAATCCCTGGAATTCTGCAGACAAAGCTAGCGGTGCGCAACAACACCTAGTACTTGGCATTGTTTTCTTGATCTTTGTTTTTAGCAAGTTTGTAGATGCCTCGCAGATGTTTCAAGTAGTTTTAGAGACCGGTCATACAAAAAATTGTGCCTTCTTTATGGTCATTCTTTGGATAAACTTGGTATCTTTATGCTGCTGAATTGCTTGCTTATATTGCTCCAGTTTCCTATTATGTTTATATATTTTTGGAGTTAACGAGTAATTAAAGTTATCTGTTACAAAATTTTATATTGAAATTACATTACAAATTACTGTCATAAAAAAAGTAATGTTCAATTACAAAATTACTTGAAGTAACGGATTACTTCCCAAGTATGTCGTCGTCTAGCAGCACATCTAGTCAGTTCAACCAAACACCTACATTCCTGGCGATGTTTGTCGGATAATTTAACACGTGGCATGCGTACACTTAAAGGGGCACTCAAGTAGTTTTGGGGGAAGCTACTTTTTGGTGCAATGGCATTAAGGAAGTGTCAGTGAATGAGTATCTTCAGTTTTAGAAGGCAAAACCACCTATTAATCACGCAGAAAAAAAAATGCGTGCAGACTCTTTTCTGTTTCTGCGCCGACCAATGAAATTATTGTAGGTTTGAACATTCTGGCGGCCTTTGTAAAGTTTGCTTAAGAAACAATTTTCAGTTCATTTAGATATGTTGTGCGTGATAATTTTACAAGACGTAAAATAGTTCTAGTTTAGAATACGCGCTACTGCAATTATCGTTTCACAAAGGACTATGTTTTCATCTTGCCTTCCTCCGCGAGGGGTGAATATCCCGTTCCCTCGGGATGCGCGGAAGCGCACGTATCATGAACTCGCGCCTCATTGCATGCCGGTCGTGCCGGGCTCTTCTATCTGCAAACATGGCGTCGGTGGTGATCGTCGACGTGGACGGTGTGGTGAAAGCTCATTGTTCCGCGTAAAAGCGCTATCCTTGACTGTGAATTTTCGTCGTGTGTCGCTATGATAACCCAGCACGTACTAGAAGGGAAGATCCACCTACTCGTGCGGCGATGTCATGGCAGCACTCTCCAGACGGCAGAAACGCCCGTGCCGTCGTGTTTGCTTACTTCGACTACAGTGGTGCTTTCTAAGCATTTGTTTCCTCGAACATCGCCGGGATTTCTTATTTGGCGCATTTCATGCGTGTGCTCAAGTTCAGGGTATTACTGGCGCGTACCGTATCAAGGATGCGAATTTTCACGCGTTTTCATCACCGGAGAAAAGTTATTAATGTTAGCAATCCTGAACGCTCGCAACGTCTATCTGATCACGAAACCATATTTCTACATTGCTATATCGCTGCTAAGATTACATCTCGTCATTTCTAATCATAGAAAAGGCGTGTGGCGATATTTGTACTGTTGGCAAAGTCGTTTATTAGAATCGTGATCGTCCAAGATGGAGTATTGAATCTTTTTCTTTTCTTTCATTCACTGTACCCTGCAAGCCTATTATGAAAAAAAAATGATAAAGCTTTAGGCTATAGAAAACTGTCTGCGTCCCCTTTTTAGAGGTGCCACTGAAGCTGACGGCGGCGTAGAAGCGGTCGCCATGCTGCTGACCCTCTGCGCTTGTTGCAGTGGTTGCAGGTCTGTGTACGCGCGGCGCAGAGCGGTCGTTCCAGTCGCTCTGGTTGCAACGGACGCAGTCGTAGGTAACGCGCTTGTTGCACATGTCTGAACCAGCCTGCCATCCTCCCGAGGCGAAAGTCAACGTTGCGACATCGTTTGACATCACGTACCAGAAGTTACGCTTCGATGCCAAACGTCTGTTTGGTTACGGCTTGCCCCAACCGCAAATCGAAGAACGCCCGAAAAGGTCTGCGTTTCGTAGTCCTCGGAACACGACTCTGAAGCGCTGCTATCGTCCACATCGCACGTCAAAGTGGCGTCGTAGGAAATCATCCCCAGGTCGGCTGTCTGCCGAAGAATTTCAACCACTAACGGCGTCAGGTCCTCGAGCGTAGAGAACTCCGCCATGATCGAAGCTCGAATGACAAAGAGGTTCGGCCGGTGCGGCTACCTCGAAATCACTGCGCGACGGAACGTCGTCCAATGCCATTGGCCTGAGATCGTTTTGATATGCGAGCGGTGAGCAATGAGAGTGGTTTTGTTTTCGAATGGATCCGAGATTCGGCGGTCTTTAATTACATTTTTATTAAAGAAATAATCACCGTATGACTATATTTTCTTGGTTTTTAGGGATACATGGGGCGTCTAGATTCAGTTGTCGTCATCAAAACACAAACTCAAAAACCACTTGAGTGCCCCTTTAAAATGATAAACCTGCCAATCTTCCAGAACCTTCCAATGCACGCCTCCTCTTCCACCTTGCCTCCTCTCCTCACTCCACCCCAGGTCACACGACCTCCCCATCAACCAATCAGCATTGAGCACCTAACTCCTCCTCTCCCACCGGTCGGCCAATCGGTACAGTTTGCAGCCACGTTTTCCTCCGGGCTTCATGAAACGCCGAGCACCTAGCCAAAGAATGTTTCACGTCAAAAATCAGGACAAGTTCCTCCCGCAAAGCCTTTCACCCTCTCCACATTCAGTGAATGAACACAGGAGAGAAGGCGGAGAGGAGGCAAGTCCACTCGTCTCCTCTTTGACTTTCGCACCGCTGAATCAGAAAGGGCAGAGGACCTTCTGGTAGGAGCTTGCCCCGCTCTTCCCGGCCTGTGGCGGGCTATGGGCGGTACTGCGTAAAGAGCCCTGGCAAGCAAGAAATGCGGCAGAGAGGAGACCTACCGCACCAGCTGGTGACCCGCAGGCGCAAGAAGGGCCAGGCCTCCCACCGCAGGCATGCCCGGACGGGTCATCACGTTCAGGCTCGGGTAGATGGCGCTGCTGTGGGCCACCACCAGGTCGATTCTGCGGGACACGCACAGCATCACTGCCACACCCACCGTCATGCCCGGTAGACGCAGTAAGAAAGGGGCCGCAAAAGCCTAGGGACGCCAAACGAGCTGCCATATTTTTTCGTGCATTACCCGCTTCAAAATTTGTATAAAGTCGCGGGCAAAGTAGGGGGCACGAGTCGTACGCAAACTTCGGCGCGCAGTGCGGCTTCGCAACAACGTGCACGAGGTGGTAGGAATAGAAGACACAAGGCAAAGCTATACGCTCGCACCGATGTCCGGGACTGTAGCACTGTAGAGGCCACGCCAGCCTCGACAATGTCACGTGGAAAATTCTACAGCGACCGTCGAACGAGTGAACAAGTACGGTAACTACGAGTGAAATTGCAATTTTCGCACAGTGACGGATATAAGTGTCCCACTTGTTAATTAAGTGCACCAGAGACATTTTATGTTTCCAAATAACTAGAAGCTAAGCAAGTAAAGAGTATATAAAAGAAAGAAAGAAAGAAGAGTTTGCAAATCTCCGACGGAGGGCAAAAAAGACAAAAAAAGACTACATTCTTGACAGCATGCACGGTTCCGAGGACGTCGACGGTAGGGTCCTGCGTATTTGTTATATACAGGCAGGCCCCAAAAAAGTAACCTTTGAAACGGTTTTATTGAGATCTAGGAAAACCCAAAATACTCCAATATGGAGCTGTCCTCGAATCGGGAAGTTCCAAGCTTGATGGGAAAAAAATCTACATCTACCACTTAGTCTCACGTTGACCCATAACACGGCCTGTACCGAGCAGACCACAATGTCGCTTCTCTCTACGGGTCCCTGCCTCTCTTACTGGTGCCGGGACGCTTGCCCCGTATTCGGATCACGCGCACGCTCCTTGGAAATCAGTGAAAGAGTATGCTTTTTTGTGAAAGAGGCTGCACCGGATGTAGGAGTGACTACGTACTTTATTGAGAGTATGTAAGAGATGGGTTTTCATTTCAATAAATGTTAGTTGCGAGTGCACTCCGTTTTCGTCACCTCCCTTATTGTCTTGGTGTGGTTTCGGCGCTTCAAACGAGAAAACACCTAAAGAAATAAACCCCGAAAACACGGAAGCCTAGCCAGCAGGACATCATACTCTCCCACGAAACGTTTCCCCGGACGTCTGTGGGACCATGCATGCCGTCGGGGTGAAATTTGTGCGTAACGCCCCTTGTACATATCCCCCTCTGGGGGGGGGGTTAGGAAGAGGGGTTACTTGCTGATGTTGATGGCCCGGAGGAAGTCTGCCAGCAGGTGCGTCTTCTCCTCCGCGGAGTGCCAGAAAGTGCCCACACGGTAGCTCAGCTTCAGGTCTGCGTCGCCGAGGGGAGGGGAAACAAGTTCCGTTATTTTGACGTCAAAGCCACAAAGCTCAAACTCTGTCGAGGGTGCTCCATTATTTTAACGCGAGGGGCGTTTCGAGAAGACTTTGCCACCTGCAAGAGTTTGGGAAAACAAAACAATAAACGAAACCATACAAGAGGAGGACGTGGTGATGATGACGCGGCATCACATGCCTGGAAGGCTGAGAACGGATTTAAGCTTGATTCACATGGTTCGATTTAACTTGCAATTTCGCAAGTGTGGTGGTGAGCGCTGCAGCTTTTACCACACTCTTTTTGCCGCACGAGTGACGTCGCAACTGCGAAATCGGAAGTAAAATCCAGCACGTGAATCTGGCATTAGCGTCTGCTGCGTTCCTCATGAAATGTAATTCTACATACGAGGGCTTGATCGATAGCCCGAAATACTACTGCACATTTTTTTGCCACTGCCTGTACCTCTCACAGGCATGTCGGAACTATGAAGAGTGCTTGCAATGCCAATTCAGGCGTGTGAGCCACTCGTTAAACAAACATACCAAAACCAAGTTTAAAAAACAAAACAAAAAAAAAACTGGTTTTATTATGTGAAAATTTTTAAATGATTCTTAATGTAGTAGAGAAGTGACTTAAAATTTAACAGTGCCTTCTTAAAAATTTAGTTAACAAATAAAAGTATATTCATATCCAACAGCAAGTATGAAACATTGAAAAGTACCATTTGTTAGAACAAATTGTGGCCAACATACAATAACACAACTCTTCCGACCTTGCTCAACCAGAACCCAGTTTTCAGTGAATCTGGGTGGGTACCTCCTCGGTATTTTACAGTAGCCTGCACCGTGTAAAAATCAAACTTTAAAACACATATGTAGTCCGTGGGCCATTGCCCAGAATAAACGGTACCATTATCAGCCACCGTATCGGGTACGGTGCTTTTTGCCGGCCGCCGAACCTACCCGGCCAAGTCGGAGACACGACGGTGGCTCCCACCCGGTCCAAGAACGGCACAAGGTCGGTAAAGTCCCGGTAGCTGCCCGGTGCCCCGTGCAGCAGGAGCACCGTGGGGCGCCCGGCGTCCCAGGCACGGTCCAGGCCCGTGTGCAGGTAGCGCACGGGCACCTCAATGCCTGCAATGTGCGGAGCGGCACGTCCATGGGGTCATCTCGGGCTCTGCTCTTGAAGGGGCACTGACACCCCAAAGGTTGTATTTTTTTTGTTGTCTAAAACGGTGCAAGTCATAAATATAAACACACAAAAAAAAACCACAACGCAAAATGTGGAAGAGAAAGACGCTAAAAATAAAAAGGCGCGCATGCCTTTTTACTTTTGTAGTTTTTCTTTTTCGTTACTCACTGCCTTGCATCTTTTGATTTGTCACATCAAATATTAGGAAATTTAGAAGCTTTGTAAGCGACATTTCTATAACATTCAATAACGGTATTCATACATGTTTTTTGATGCGATTGCAAACGCACACGGTCCTTCTTTTTGAAATACCGAAAATCGGAGTCCAGCGCAATGTCGCCTCCTGGCTTTTTATCCTCCCTCAAAAAACATGGCGGCACTCATGGGCGTACCAACCGGGGGGGCAAGGGGGGCACTTGCCTCCCCAGTTTTCAGAGCGGGGGGGCAAGGCATGTGTTTTGCCCCCCCTGAAACAGCCGCCACTGGGCAGGGCAAACACTGGCCGGCGGCGCCCGAGGACTGGCAGGCGATAGAAACCCGAGGATTGGCAGGCGAAACACTGGCAGGCGATACAAACCCTAGCAACGGCGCTCACGCCGGATTGGCAGGTTTGTGGAGATAGGCGCTGCCGCCGTCAACATATGCAGTGGTTACAATGCGAGTTTCCGAAGTGGTAGCGTAACTTAGTTGTAAGATGTCTACCTCATACGTAGCAGACCACGGTTCTATCTACGCTTTGGACTTCTATTTTTTTTTTTTTTTTTTTGTTTTCGTCGAACATTTTGTATTGTGGAGGCATTTGGCGATATTTACATTTTTTTTTTTTACAATTAGCGCTGAAAGAAAAACGAATGTTGTGGACGCGCTGAACTAAATTGTATGGGACTCTCTTTACGGATGTGGATGGGAGATAGTGGGGCTTGGGTTGCCGGCTGCAAAGCGGCGTGTACGGGGGTATAAGAGGGGAGGGGGTTAACGCTCGTTGAGTGATATACGCGCCGTCCGAATTCGATATTTAAGTTTCCGCACGTTGCCGAACGGCCAATCCGGCGTGAGCGTCGGTGCTAGAGGGCCTATCACCTGCGCCGTAAAAGTTGGTGATGGACCGAATCTGCCGAACTTCAGATGCGGCAAATTTCCGCACATGCCGAAATTTAGAAGGTAAGTTCGACAAAGATTCGATAAAAATTCGGCAAATGTCTGCGCACGCGCACGAACGCGACGGGGCCATGGATCGTAAATGGACGCCGCGCAGTTGCGCCGTTACCATCGCTTTAGTACAACCAGCGGTTACGGCGAGGTCTGGAGTAGGCGGCACGGTAACTGGGCGTTCGTGAGCTTTTGCGAGTGTGGTTGTCTTCAATATTTTCTGCCTCAAGAACACAAGTCGACGAGTAATTTACGCGGCTCACTGCGAAAGTGACAGGCGGTGCATTCTGGATAACGTGATTTTCATTTGATCTTTCCATTCATGAAACGAGGTAGTTGAAGCATTGACTGACAACTGGACAATTACGCTCAGTGCCCGCAGCCCACTGCCGTCAAACAGGAGAGTCACGAAGCTTGCCAGAATTAGGGCTGGGAAGTCGATCCAGTAACCTATCGATTAATCTACTAATAATTTAATCGTGATTAATTTTTAACCGGTTAATCGGTAAAATTTTGACGAAACTAAAACGGTTGAAAGTCAGCGCTATCACCACGCAGAGAGGACAAGTACATCTGTATGAAGAGCCAACTTTAGGATAAATTTTAGCCTAAAGTAAGCTGTAGGGGCGAGATTAGTAACCTCAGACAATTGGATTAGCTTACACGTGTCCCATCTAGTTCAACGCCGTTTGAGTGTCTGTTTAGCGCAGCGGAGGCAATTGTGAACAATCAAGGAAGGTCGCTCTTGCCGGAGAATATCAACGAACCTCTTTACCTCGTGCAGATAAAGTAATGACCTGTGAGCGGGAGTGTCTTTGAACTGTTCTGAATTATACATGGAGGCCGATTCGAAATCCAGATGGTATATTCCGCCGTTTGTCACAAATTCAACAAAATCAAAAACCAATTTTCTTTTTTTTTTTATACTTTGTATGAGAATGAACGAGGCCGATTAGTTGATTAATTAATCCATTGAAAGGTCGCGATTAATCGGGTTAAATGTTTTAATCGACGCCCAGCCCTAGCCAGAATGTATGGGATGCAGCTGGCATCCTCGTCATAATGGGATACATGTTTTCCCCCTTCTTTTTTCTTTTTACGCACTTTCTGTAGTGCGTATATTCTGTACATTTATTTGTGTGTTTGTTTTTTCACATGTGGTGGCGGGCTGGCAGGCGCTCTGAGTAAGGGTTTTCAGCTATTTGCCTAGCCCCGCACACCACCACATGGGCCCCTCCCAGTATGTGCAAATAAAATTATTATTTTTATTATAAAAATGCTATTTTCGGCTTACAAGTAGTTTGTGCCAAAACAGAATAATATTGCGTTTTAGTTCGCATTATTTCGCGATTTTCATGTATCTGCATAAAACTAAACACAGAACTTTCATGCTCGACGTTGGATATCCGATATTCCTAACTCTCCCCATCTTCTTGAACGTCCGTGTGTGTCCTAACACCAGAAACCGGAATTTGAAAGGCTAAAAACGGCACGTTGCGAATACGGAACGCGCACTTTCTTGCCAAGCTGACGTCAAGTGGCTCAGATCGAAAAACATGCATATTTACAATATTGCTATCTCTTCAGGTGAAGGCTCAGCAACCGTTGCAATCGTATTCGCGCACGAAACGGCGACTTCCAGAGAAAGTAAGAACGTAGTGATTGCTTTTATTTTAAAAATGTAAACACACATCCAGGCCTGCGCTGATGAAGTCTCAAAAAATCAAAACTCTCGTAGCGTGATTCATGACTGCGGCGGCTGCTACCCAACCTCGTTGTCACGCCACTTTCTGGAAGCAGACACTAAAATTGCAAACGTAAACACACAAAAGCGACACCGATACAATTATCTTGCATAATATCACCTTACTTAGTAATAACTGTGTCAATAGGCACTACTAGTTGCTTTTAAGTTAAGAAGAAAAAACAAACAAAAAAACGTAAACCTTTTACCAAATCTTTGTCGAATATTTGCCAAATCTATAGAAAAGTTCGGCAAAAGTTCGGCCCATCACTAGTAAAATAGTAGAAATTTGCGACCGGAGGGGGGGGGGGGAGGGGAGGGGAGGGGGAGCGGGGGTTGTCTTGCCCCCCACTCAAAAACAAGTTGGTACGCCACTGGCGGCACTGGACGCAAGTAGCAGAGGATGATCGGTGAGTCGGGGAGTCGGACCAAGTGGACTTTTTTAGGTGCTCGACGACCTCTCAGACTTCGGAAAGGAAATCGTCAAGTCACCAAAATGCTGGGTTTCGTGTCTGTGTACCGTAGTTTCAGTTGCGACTTCGCCGGAGCAGCCTTTCACGCAGAAGCGGCACAAGGTAGCCCTTCACATCGCTCACAGGAGTCAACTGCGCATTCCCTTTGACCTCGCACCGTATCAAAGAGTTTGAGATTGCTGAAAGGGCCCTAAAAGAACTTCAAACTTGAAAGTCAAGCGTCGTCTGCCCGCAGCGATAGGCGGGACACACGGAAGAAACCGGTTGTTCGCAGGACGTCGGCGAACACGACACTTTGGAGGCGACAGAGAAATGCGAATCGCAGGACGGCTCAATATTCGGCGTCACTGCATTGGCGCGGGTACTTGAGATTCGGAATTTGGAAATTGTTTTTTTACTTCACAAATACTGGTTTCCCAAGTTTTAAATCTTGAGGGTAATGTCCCGGCAACAATTTCAATCATTTTGAATAATAAAAAAAAAAAATTACCGATGTTTCAGTGCCCCTTTAAAGCAGTACAGTTGCGTCTCTTTAATATGGACGCCTGTTTGTCGGAAACATCGTCCACAGTGCGAGCCGTCCAGAGAAACGAATCGGGAGCAAAACACATTTAAGAACAAGCGTAGCAACAAAAAAATTCCCCCTCCGCCGTCATAGCCTTATCTATACTCCATCTGATCGTAACTTGACAAAGAATGAACGCTACAGCCACCTCGAGCCAAACAGTGACGGAGGCGAAGCACGTGACAGCCCTCACCAAAAGTATGAAGACAAGAGCGTCGGGAGCTCTCGCATAATCCAAGCAGCTGGAGATGAGCGGAAGGATGAACTCATATTCGGACTCTTTTTTTCTGTTCCCCTGAAGTCGCATTGTCCTCCCAAAAAGCTAGCCCGCCGTTTTATATTTTTTTGAAAGCGGAATTCTACTATCTCCCGCCCGTGTCACTTTGAGGAGAGCGGGGTTCGGGGCAGGACACATTTTTTGCTCTGCGCTCGCAAAATGTAGATCCTACACTAAAACATGATGAGCAGGAAGCTTCTTAAACCTTTGGACATTGTGTGCACCACCTAGATATGTGTAGTAGCATTAATTTTATAATGCGAGCGCAGTTTCAAAGTGGCCATGAGCTAGCAGACGACAAGTCAACCACATTGACCAAACCTGCCCGAATACGCATTTCCAAGTGATTTGAGAGATGCACGGCAATGCATGCGCAATAAGCCGCACCTCACGTTGTCATGCCCGTCGCATCCCCTGCAACAGTAAGGCAAAGTGGACGTAACAAGCGAACAAACTCCAGTCCAAACCTCGACGGTCCAAACAAAAGACAGCTCCATGCATCAACCGAGTTAATATGAACGCATAAAAAAAAAATCGTAGAGATCATCGCATGCAGGGGAGAAGAGTCACCTAGTTTCCCTTTCTCAGAACTTCTTTTTCTCTCGCCTTTCTATGAAACCCTGGCTCAAAGTACATTACGAGTAATCAATAAACGATATAACAATGAAACATTATTTTGCAGTCTGCACTTCAGCATCCCGGTGTAGAGCCTTACCCTGTGGGGGTGCGTTCTGGTAGCCGGGCTTCCAGTGCCTCCAGTCGCGGTAGAGCTCCCCACACGTGCGGACAGTGACCCAACGGTCCGTGTATGGCCAGTCGGAGGCACTCTGCTCCTTGGCTTCCTCTTTCTTTTTCAGCACCCCTCGGCCACTGGGCACCAGCACCTGCAGCCAAGTGAAACATTCCTGCCAAACTGCACATCTGACCAACCTGAAGAATCTAGCAAGATTGAGATTAAAGTCAAAATGGTGACCTCAGTCAAATCAAAACTTCAGTCAAACCGAGACTTTGTTCACACCAAGACTTCGTTCAAACTGAGACTTCGTTCAAACCGAGACCTCAAATCAATTAGGCCTTTTGCCAAATCAAGACTTTGGTCAAACCCAGACCTCGGTCAAATCAAGACTTGAATCAAACCAAGATGCTCTCCTTCTCCAAGGATTATTTTCGTTATTCTTGTCCAGCTCGCTTGCACCTTTGCATTTAATTGCATTATAATCTTCAGCTACTCTTCAGTTCTTCATACCACGGAGAAAAGTGGCGATTTTTGAGAAATGAACAAAACATTTTACAGCAAGCTGTTAGTGCCCCTTCCTGTTAAAAAATGCTCATGTTTGAATATTTTTGCATTCATACATGAGCATTTTTTAGCACTTTACAGCAGAGGCACTGCTCTCCCTCTCCCCGTTGTTTCTCAGACATGGCAAGGCTCTCCTCGCCCCCCCCCCCCCCCCCCCCCTTCTCCCCTGTGAGCCGCCGCTGTTGCCGACATCGAAATACTTTGAGATGAGAACAAGAGCACTAAGACAGCTGTAACACAGTACAGCAGTACATATTAAAGATACATTTTAAGATAAGGTACAAATTATTTTCAAATACAAATACTGAAATGCACAACAAAAGCCAGGATAATGAGACCAGAGTGCATTTGTGAGCAGAATTGCAATTCCCTTCCAGAAAAAGTTAAGTATTTGGAAATTAAAATATGGATAAAAATACTGTTTGTAAAATGCATTGTTTTAATATATGTTTAAAGCAATATGTTTAAATGTGCATTATGGTCACATTAACAGGACCCTTAAGCAACATTTTTAAAGGGGCTTCACAAGCAACATTTCAGCAGTTTCAGATTTAATAAAGAATGCTAAATTGGGCCACTTGATGCACTTTGTTATCATCACGGTGTCACTTGGATTCTAGTTATGCTTCTATTACTACCAGATCTTGTCCTGACCCGGGCACGATGACTGTAATTGGATTTCACTGCACAAGAAACTGGTAAGAAACACTGAACGCAAAAGAGCAAGGGAATGGCAAGGCAGTAAATCGGGAAAACCAGGAAGTGGAAATACTGGCAGTGGCACAGACCTTGCAACACACTTGAAAATGTAAGGGACTGGAAGATGGTGTTCATTGCTTTCACTAACGAAGTGGCAAAATTTGAGCTATTACCATAGAAAACAAAAAGTTAAATTGTACTGGTTTGTACCAGATACCATATTTTCCTGACCATAGTCTGCATATGGAGTATATAGTGAACGCGCAAATTTCAGCTGCAGAAAGAAAGCTTTTATGTAGATGTCCACACACAAAAAATTCTCAAACACCCCACTCACACCTCAAAAAATGTCTGCTACATTAGCACACATAGAAGCTACTATCATACAAAAATCACAACCAGAGTAGTAACATAGCCTGTCATTCACAAAATTCATTATGTTTCGTCAGAATGAACTACCCATCTCGAACAGCTAGTCCTTGTATAGGCCTGTTTCTCTCGGCCAGGGGGCGCTGTACCATTCACATGACACGACCACGAAGGAGGCGCCTCCCCTAGCGTCTGCAAGACGCGACCATTTAATGCTGATGGAAGCGGCATCCTATTGCCTCATCCTGTACGTTCCTTGGGCAGGAACTAGCGTCTGGCAGCTTCCCTCAGCATCTGCTCAAGGTTCACGCACAAACAGAACATTTGAAAGGATGCAACGCTACGCACAGTGGAAACGCGACCAAAAATATCCTATGTTTCTCGCCAGGGGATCCTGTAGATATCCTGCACCGCATAAAATATGAACCTTTAAACATGTCTAGCCTGCATACTATAAATGCGGTATACATTTTTTGGTATTAAAGCCCCACGTATTTCAGATCTGCTATTTATGCCACTAAAAATATAACAGTAAAATCATGTCTGTCCCTGGCATTATTATAACTTAATTTACTGCCCTTAAATGCAACTGAGCTGGGCACATGCTGAGAGTCATTTCATGATGTCATGTGGCATCACATAACACCCAAACCTGACGCCAAGTCGAATGATGTCACAGAGTCACATGACCCGTGTCAGTTGAGCGTGGCACTTTTCTGACGAAATCCAACCCCGTAACACAATCTACGTCAGAAGAGGCGACAGAGGAGCCATTCTTCCACACCTGCGTGGTGGCGACTGCCTCAATCTGGTGGCGCACCACGGAGGTAGACAGGGAGCATCGCACCACACTGGATGGTGCCCATCGCACCAGCACCACTCTCAGGGAACACTGCATCTGTGAGCAAAGGAAGACACCGTTCAAAATCGGGACAGGCAGCGCCAGGCATCGTTGCATGCAGCCCGCAACTGTTTACAAAGAAGGTCAAGTGCGCTTACTTACACGTGCAACCTGCTGGCGAAAAACACTGATGGGAACCAATCGTAGAGATCTAAAAGCGAACGAGCAAACAATGAGGCATGGATGACGTCTGAACTCGAAGCGGCGAGCTGCGCTTGTTAACCGAGCAAGGCTGCCCAAGCGCCAAGACTCCCAATACAGTTTTTTTTTTTTTTTTGTGTCCAAGTATCATCCATGCCTCATCATTCACTGATATCCATTTATAACTGTCTATGATAGGCTCCCATACCACTTTCTTTGTAAACAAGCGCAGAAGAAAAAATCTGCAGAAGTATACTTTGATTGAGCTGAGTGGAAAAGAATTACCAATAAGCTACAGAAGGACTAAAAGGTGACGTGAAACACCTAAGTGCAACTACAAACCATTCATTTCTTCTCAGAAAGCAGATCACCGAATGCAAAGGAAACACGACAAGAGAAGAAGAAAAAACATGAATAAACAAATAATTATTTTGCAAATTCCGGCAACAGTTGATTGTTGCGCTTACCTCTTCTCTGTACGTTGTTTCGTATTCATAGTCCCTATGGTTGCGTTTACATGAATGCGGCAGTAGCACATTGAATTGAGAGTGAACCAATCACACTCGCCCAGTCCCTCTGGTTCTTCACTTTTAATATGATCACAATTGTCATCTCTATTTGATGCACTACGGGCGTATCCATGTATCCGCGGCTCAAGCGACATTTAATGGTAGTCCTTTGCAGTGCAGTTCACAGGGGGTAACCTGCTAACCATAATTAGAATATTGGTTAATAGAAATAGCGAGGCAAGATTCTGAGTGTACCTTTCCGTGCACATTTGACATATCAGGTTGCATTCGTAGGTGTTCATTTCAGTCTTTTTTTTTAATGTCACATCTACAGATAACCCTTTGCTGCATGGGCACTGCCATCTTGGAATCACATGATGCAGCTGCCATAAGGCGACTTCAAATCGTCGCTCCTCTCTCCACTCCGTGCCCTGGCGAAGGTGTTGTATTTGTGTTTTTCGTCGCGTTTTAATTACTGTGCTTTTTTTGCCTTGCTTTGTAAAGTGTCGCTCGATATCTACTTTTATTACCTAACTGCATTCCATCATTATGTGCACAACTTATGCACTTAATTTTATAGTATGCTTTGACTATTTGCATTGTCGGCGTACCGGATATGTGTGAGGAAAGGAATCAGCGTTGGCACTGGCAGACATTGAGTATGCAGATGACTCTAAGACACACAAAGGTTGAGAGGCCAATTATTTATGACAGCAGAAATTTGCTTAAAGGGGCTCTGCAATCATATTTAAGCGTCTACCTTTTTTGCGGTTTCCACGTCTCTTGGGGTTCGGGCAAGCCAGCGGGCACGGAGAGAGTAACTAAATATCAGTGCGTCATATTTTAACTGGACGACGCGGAAACCTCCTCCCCCGACAAGGGCGACCCGCGGTACCGAAAGCGCGCAAAATGTGACGTCTTTGGTCCTGGGCTTGCCACTGGTCAAAGCCACTAAAAGCTTTTTTTTTTTTAGTCGAGATACAAAGTATAAGTGTCGCGAACCGTTTCAATTATGTATGAAAGTAGTTTTTGTTCACTATTTTAGATCAGAAAAGAAACAAATGCAGTTTAGAAAGTACGGAAACAAGAAATGACCCGTCGACATATCCGCCACCAAGCGGCGGAAAAAACGGCGCATACTAGAAAGAACTAGTGGGATGAGGCTACGACGAACGAGGAGCGTAGAAAGCTCCCAGATGTATGGGGCGGCGCTGCGGTCGTATACCGGCTCGAGAATCTGACCGGTTCCAAGCGTTCCGAAGGCCTTCGGCGTGGGCCCTGCTGGCGATTTGGCCATTTGTCGGTGCGTCAGCGCGAAGTGGCTCCCGTTCTGAACTAATCTTTACCCCGTGTTTGCTGTCGTTTGTGGCCAATGAAGTGTTACGCCAAATTAGTGTTTAGTCGCGCAGCAAATGCAATGCGAGCTGCCCTGGCCGCCCGCTTCATACGGCCTATCCAACACGTGCTTTAGTGGCGCCCTCTCGAGCCGTCGACACGGAGTGCGGCAACCGTGAGCCCTCGACGAGCTCACTACTCCTCTAGTTCACGGCCACTCAAGCCAGGACCTACGACGTCATAAGGGAGGTTATTTTTTGCTTGTTTTTGTAATTCTAATTTGCCTATAACTTTTAAAATAAAGCGAAATTTGAGAAAAGAAAATTTTGATTAAGTTACTACGTTCACTACGCTCAGGTTCAGTGCAAATTAAAAACCAGTCCAAAAGTCATTGCAGGGTGACAGAGGCTAAGTGGTAGTGGTGCAATAAGAAGCGCAAGGTATATTTATGATTATGCATTTATGATATGAAAGAACAAGGCAAATATAGTTAACACTAGGAATTGCAGTGTTTGTCAAAACCATTGTGCTCTGCCTTCATAGCAAATCCAAAACACTTATTCTTGATTATATGGGGGAATCATTTTTTTCGGTATAAACATTCACTTGACCTATTCATTTATAAATTTAAAGAAACTATACACTCTGCTAGGTCTTATGTCTGCACTATCCAGATATCCAGGACAAATAATTTATTTAAACACAAAGGGTGGTCTCCCCAGGTGAAAAGCGTGTCAAAGAGAGCTTGTGATTGCCTGACGAAAGCGCCTGAGGCACGCAAAAGGCGACGCCGATAAAAAGCCATCTGCATTGAAATCACTCGAGTGCAGCGTTGTCAATGCCGGACTTATTCTCGACACCGCATAAAGTAAAAAGCGTACCTGTTCAAACAAATAAAGACCTGTCTACACAAATCCATGAAGTGGCACCTGGCACTTGACTTGAGCCAAGCTAGCTGGAGGTCAATTCTCTTGCCCCAATTAATTTTATTCCGCAATTTATACGGAAGACAGATGTCAGACTTCAATTGACTGGTTTGTCCCTTATCTCATATTCTCAATATGCTGTAAGGAAATGTCCGTATAACAAATAGTTTCCCGAGGTAAACATTGCGAAATGCTGCTTATGAATACTTTAGCAGGACTGACAGTCGAAACAAAATGTCTACACGGCCTAGGAAGCACCATTAAAATATCTCTCAAGTACTTATTAAAAAAAAATGAAGACAATATTGCTTCTTTTTTACGTTCCATATGTCATTACAGGGGGGGTTTCATGGCCAGCAATTTTCAAAAACCATTGGTGTCCTCGAAAACCGAGCAGCGAGCACTAAACTTGCGAGTTCATCTGTTCTGTGCAATTCAGCACATTTAGTCAGGCAGTCGACTTGCTTTTTCACTGTCTCCATGCATTAGTCTCTTCATTAGTTCATTTTTGTGGATACTAGTAAAAGCGGATACGTCCAGCACGGCCGAAGACTTCGCTAACTTTCCCCCGGCATCATTTCAGCCGTTTTGCCACCGAACCTGGCCGAACGAGAAACATAATTAATAAAGGTGTTCGATAAAACATTCAGAATTGATGTTCGTAACCATGTCGTAGCTCTCAACGTGGCCCGTCACCACTGCATTATTTGTTCTGCACTACAAGGGATAGATTTATGTCACAAAACTAGGCGAGAATGACATAACACACGAACAGAGCCGCGAGCCCCACTGAAACCGAAACCAACCAAATTGAAGCCACCTTATGGCACCACATGTGTCAGCGTTCCCTGAGCACCGTCAGCACCGTCAGCACGAACACAATATCGGTACTTTTCCTAAGTTTACTTGTGAGGAGTAATAATGGGCACCAAGTATCACTGCCGAAGTCAACTCACCAAGTGGGCACTCTACACCATATTAGAGGTTTTGAGACAGCCTTCTAATTTTAAGAGAAAAACCACAAAAAAAAATTGTGATCGCTTGTTTGTGCCGACAGTGTCACAACATCTACAAGGAAGGATGTGTGGAGACTAGAATGTTTCTTTGTCATCGGCAAGATAAAAAAAAAAAAAGATATTCGAGGCAGGCTACTAAAAGCAACAGCTAACTTGGTGATGTCCATCCATCTTTTTCTTTCCCGTTCCACTTTTTAAACTTTTTTTTCTTCTTGTCAAAGACTAAGGTTAAGTTGTATCATACTTTAGAATACATAGACCAAATCTAACCTCCAGTGAGCCTTTCCCGCACAGGGGGTCTGGCAACTCGCCACAAAAAGAAATTTCCAGCGACGCATTGGGAGTTGCTCCTTCGCTGCAGATTGAATTTTATTAGTAAAGAATTGGCCCTTTGAAATCAAAGAAGAAAGGCCGTGACGGATTCGACAGTACTATGTACAAGAATAAACCATTATTTTATGGCATAAAACCACCTCTTGTGCATTTCAGCAACATATTTAAACATAAACGCATTACAGATATGCGTGCTCATTTTTTTCCACCAGACGAACGTAACATTTGTACACGCATCCAGTCATTGTCAAGAGCTTTTTAGCATCCAAGGTTTTGGCAGAATTTGCTCTTGCCACCGCAACTACGGTCAAGCGGCCTTCTTTGGCCACCCAACTGTAGCTGCACAACAAGTGTTCCATAACAACTGAAAGCAATCTGACGCGGCTAAAACGCACCAGATCTGTCTGCCAAAAGAGAGGGGTATGAGCAGTGAACCCGTCACGCATCAAGGTGCACCTGGGGCGACTTTGACGCTTCATGCATTCCAAGAGCAGCACACAATCCTATCCCATTATATCATGGTGAGTTCGAACATGCAGAAAATAAAACAAACAAAAAAGGTCATCGCAAACTTTGTTCTGCTTCCCTTTGCATTTTTGAAGTCGCACAAAGAACCAACACTAGCTTAGTCTTTTACAGCCGGGTGAACAGTCGGATCATCATAATGCGTCACAAAGACTGGGGGGTGTAGCATATCTTTGAAATGGTCTATTAAAGTTGCGTTCTGTTCTTTTTTTAGTGTAAAAGCATTAGCTGTCAAATGGAGCGAACCGGCGTTGTTAGTTTTTGAAGCCATGCACCAAACGGCACCTAAATTCCCCTATACTAATGAAGTCAAGCCTGTCATCTGTAGTAGTGATTTGATGGAGAGGCTCCCATTGGCTGGTGCGCGTCAGTTTCAAGGAACGACTCCCCATGGTGCTGCGGGCCCTGCGCCAATAAAAGGAACACGGTGGAGCGCGCTCGGCAGTTTCGACTCCTCTCGACGCCGACGAACATGGCGGCGCCTCGTGCATTTACATCGTTGGCGGCCGCAACCTTGGCAGTAGCGAAACCTGCCCGTCCACGCAAGCACACCGCAGACAAACTAAGAGAGCGGAAAAACACAGCCCAACGAGCAAAGAGGCAGGCAGCGAAATCCACCATCGTTGTCAAGTCTCCAAATACACGGCAAGCAAAACGAGCACTGGCGCTATACGCTAGGAGACAACAAAGCCTATATAAAGCATGAGGCGCAAGCGGATCATGGTTCGAAGCTTCTGAGGCGGCATGAGGACGAGGCCCTTCGACAACGCGAGGCAGAAGCGATACGTCGCAGGCGGCATGCTTTTGCATTCACGACTCATAGAAGTGCTTAGGCGTACTCTGACTTTTTTATGAGTTATGTGTGAAGATCATTTTTGCATACCCATAATGTTTAGGAATTGGGACTGTAATAAAATTAAACCACTATAAATGCCAAATTGCAAAAAATCAGGAATTTAAAAAAAAGCAATACCAAATAAATGCAAAATTTGCAATAAAAAAAAGAAAAAAAAGAATGGTCATGAATTGTGCCATGAATGAACTTTTGTCATAGTACAGAAGTTAGGTGAGGTCGTAGAAAAATTGCTACTTCTATTTTCATTTTATTGAATGGTTTTTGTGATTCCATATTCCAATTCTAGACCCAATTCTATATTCGATGGTCTCAGAGGCCTCAAAGAACCTTCAGTGTGTGCACCACAGTAAAATGACAGCTGAAAAACACCTGTAGCCTAGGGACAAAGAATATCTTGCCCTGAAGGCAGACACAAGTGCCTTGTAGCTACTTCATTTGTTATTTTCTCCTTCCCAGGTGGATGAGACGAGGGGCCACAGAATAAAAATGTAGGGATTAACGCAAACAGCTGCAAGTGTAGGAAAGCACAACACCTACAAACACCAACTAAACACAGATTTTTGCACAGATAGACTTTGAGAAGAAACTGGTTTCACCAGCTTGGTCATTCTCCACTCCAGCTGTATACCCTCATGTTTCTCCTCTCACCCTTTGCCCTTCCTCTCTGTAACTTGCTCCCTCCAGAGATCTCAGCCTGCCTCCTCGCTGATAAAGACAGCTGCACGGCAACACCGCTCCCATGTGTGCCCCGTGTTTCTCACTTGCGATGTGGACGTAGCTTACAATAGATGATTTGCACATACACCAGAGTGCTAACTCAGCTACAGACAAGGGGCACCGACAGGAGCACTGATGCAGTGCTCACTCTGCACTAGTCAGTGCAAAGATGCATGTGGGAACAAACCTTAAACTAACAAGGTGTACAGGGAAATATATGCACTATATTTGATATTACCACCTCAAACTTTGAGTCGAAATTTTTATTCGGCGTCAACTCTTTCAGTACAGTAAACTTCTCGTCCGTGTAGAAGTGAATTACCTACCAGAACAGTGCACCTGCTTACATCATATTGGTCTGTACGATACTGGAAAGCTAAAAGCAGATATTGAGTCAACTGGCCTTTTTGGAGAAGGGTTCTATGCACGTGGGAACTCTCCTGAAATAGCGACGAAAGCTCCAATTATGGTCGGTGGACAGACACAGAAGTGAAAGAGCTATGTGGGGAAACGTGCTACTTGTCCTGTCTCCTCTACGCCTCACGTGTTGCCATTCTTCTTCAAACAAGCGCTACATTATTCAATATGCAATGCAGTTTTTTTCTTTAAAGAAACACTCGTCTTGCTAGACAGTAAAGAATTTTAAGGAACCCTTTTCCGGCCCCCATATAATTGGCCGAATTGTTGGCGCACGATGTACCAAAAGTCCATCCTCACTTGCGTTGGTTCGATCGCGAAATAGTCTTTCTGCACGCAGAGAAAGTGTAAGGAGGCCGGAAAGTAGGGTGAACCAATTTGCGACAATCGTTTCAACCTTGTCAAAATTAGGGTGAAACAAGAATGCACTGCCAGCAGGCGCGTAGCTTGAGGGGGGCGTTCAGGTGTCAGAACACCCCCCGAAATTTTACTTATTTTTATATTTAAATATATATATATTTTTTTTATATGTCTGTCATTGCACCAGCACCTTGAAACACCCCCCAAGAATATTTTCTGGCTACGCCACTGACTACCACCACATAGCCTAGTCTTGTCCCCACAGGTGGTGCAGCTCACTGCCTGATAGACCTTTTCTGTGTACTCTCGTTCTCAGACACCTAATAGGCGTATCCGGTATGGGCGACGAAAAAATACTAAAACGTTTCAACCTGTAACTAGTAAAAAATAAGGGGGAGGCAAAACCATAATGTGTGACGGTTACGCTTATATCCTAAGTGTCTTCTACTAGCGTGGCGACGGCAAAATAATGTTTTTGCCCATACTGGAAGTGACGGGAATTCAAGGTCTTGGAGAAAGGGTCTATAGAAAGGCTCAGCCAAATGCCTCCATCTATCCATTCCTCCTATCCCACTAAGTGTAGTCAGTGCACCAGCCACTTGGTGTCGCCTGTATGTGAAAAAGGATTGCTATGTACCCCAAAACAGAGTATAAAATAAATGACTTAATATCAACCAGGCTTTCATAGATGTGGCAGCATGTATTAGTATTAGAAGTATGTATTAGCTGTATGCAGACATTACCTTTATTGAAACTAAAGCGAATCTGCAGGAGAATTGGTTCAATACGGACATGGTAACCCAGGAGCGGGGAAAAGCATTGGAGCTTTGTGTTGTCCGTCCGGTTCCTTTCCCCTGCTCCTGGGTTACCATGTCACTACATTTATGACTTCCTGTCTTATCATGTAGTCCGCTCCCTTCGCATATGAATTTTTGGCACATGGAAGGTGACATATGTACAGTGCACAACACGAAATCACCTCTTTTTTTGCATTTCAATGAAATATTATCTAGCAGCCTATTTTATGGCTAAAATTGGTTCAGCAGTGTAGTTCTGATTGCAATGCTTAAACAATGCAAAAGAAAAAAAAAAACTAACAATGTTACGTTTGTGGTAACTCTGCCAAGCTCTGTATGTTCATTAGTGCCAATCATACCATCATCTCCTCTGCAAAAAAGTAGTCATGCAAAAACTGTATCAACAAAAATATAGATAAACTAACAAACATGTCATCTGCGCTTTTTCTATTTTGTGTAAGCAACTTAGTTTGAAATAATTAAAATGTGTGGCTGAACACAAAAGGCAAAAACAAGAATCCTAAAACCTTAACACACACCACTTCATATATATATATAAAAAAAAAAAAAAAAAAACTCTTATACGACGATGTTTTAAATTTCGAAGCAGGCTCATACAAAAACACTCAAGGTGCATTACCTCAAATTTGATATCGAGATAACCAATTCATGTGAACCGTCTTATATATCTGCAGAACCAGAGGGAATTCTTATGGCACAACCGAGAAGCAATTTACCAATCGCTCAATTGCGGTACCCGGTAAAACCTCTAATTGCATTAGGTAACAGCCCTCTTATTTTGGTCTTTTCTTTCCGCACAGCGCACCCACGTCACCGATTTATTCATCATTCCACGGCACGAACCACCACCATCCAAATCGTTCGCGATACATGCTGTTTCGTGACGGCCGCCAGTCCAGTTCGGAAAAAGATAAATAAAAGGGAACGGTTAATGAGAAGAGTGCGACAAGGCGGGAACATGCCAGAAGCAAGCGGGGCCCCATATTCTCAAGCGCCTCGCGTCACGTCAGCGAACGTTGAGGGCAGCTGGCCATTCCCAAAGGGGTGAAGGGGTAGACGTTCACCTCATCCAAACTCGCTCAAAGACACCACCATTCGCGCAATTTGAGATCTCCGATTCCCTGCCACGTTCGAGCGGCGCCGAGGTTGACAAAGGGGCCAACGGACAAAACTGTCGCACCCCGACTTGCAAAAGAGAGAAGCGGACACGAGAAGCTGCCCGCAAACCCGTTGACAGCGGCTATTCCGCGTGGCTTTTGTCGACCGGCGACAATGCACGAGTGCAGGTCGGCGCCCAGAGAAAAGAAAAAACAAAAAGCGGCGACTACTCACAGCCGGTGGACAACGAGAACGGCAGCGAACGAGTCTAGTTGGCCATGTTCCGTTCCCGGCGCACGCCGAAGAGATGATTCTGATGATGAGGAGAGAAGCGGAGAAGTCCACGAGTTGAATGAGCTCCCAGTGCGAGGAAAGGCTGTTACGTCATGATCGTACGATGCGTCGCCCCTGGGCGGGCGGCACGCCGGGCGCGCCGTGCAGAAAGGGCAGAAAGGGGGACCGGCGCCGACCAACTCCCACCTAATAGAAAAGGTCTGCGCATGACGTCAATGTTAGTCGAACCCCGACCCGCCCCAAGCGGGATACACGCTGAAGCTCTACGAGAGCCGCCGCAAAGCGGCAGAAGCGTCCGTCATCACGTCGCCGCCTGTAGCATTGCGCTTGTTGTGTGACATGCTGCGAGACGCGCCGGCGGTGCTACAGACGCACGCTAGGCGGCGCTGCGGAACAATTTGTGATGATGTTAAAAGGGGGAAAGGCGCGTGCAGGACTCGTGGGCATTTTTCGCCAAGCGTTCCAACCTGGCACGTTCTGCGCATGCTCGGCCGTTGCCGGGGCAACGGAGAAACGCACCTTGTGATCACGTGATCGCAACTTTCGGCAGCGTGGCAGCACCCATCTCCCGGCATCGCGTACGTCGGCCCGGCGACTTCTGTGTTTTATGTCATGGAGCGATTCGTGATAATAAACCAGTGGCGGCGTCCCCCAAAATTACTGGATCTCCTTCCCTCTCTTTCTCTCTCTCCGCCTCTCTCGCCGTCCGATCGTTATTCCAGCTACAGGTTTTTCACCACTTCAAGGGCAAATTTAAAAAAATATTTATTAAAAAAAAAAAAAAAAAAAAAAAAAGATAAAGAAAAAAAAAATTGCATAAACCAGTGAAGACAGGAAAACCAATAAAATAGGACGCAGGCGAGCTGGCGAGGGACATTACAGAAATACGAAAATCTTTTTTATTATTATTATTATTATTTGTCATATTAGACTTTTAGGGGTTTACTATAAATATCATAAACCAGTCTATTTTTTTTTTACGAAGAAATGTTCAGTTTCTTTGGGTGAAATGGCAATTATTAGGTCAACAAAACAGATATATTTTGTTGATAAATAAATAAACATATATCAGCTCTCATAAGGTCACGTTAACATGGCAGAATATTTCTCCAAAACTTACCTATATTTTTCATGCTGAGTCAACAAAAGAAACACATCAAACGTTGTATTACTTCTTTGCTTAGAAGATGGGGCGTGGAAACTTTACAAAGAGACGGTGTGAACAGAATACAGGCTAATCGATGTCGCGCACACACACCTGACTTAGTCAGCCCTCTTATTTCGAGAAAGGTAATGTAGTTGCATTACACAGAACATATTAGGGCTTTTTATAATTGTTTATCAGATATCGATAATTATCTTGCCGCTAAAGTCCGAATTTACTCTTAACTATTTTAATGCCCTTCAATTACGAAGTAAATTGTAAAGCACCATTCGAGGGTGCCATTTTTATTTTACGCCATGTACACCAAGCGACAACTAGTATTATTAGTTTGAATATTAAACGACAAAACGAGATAGAAAATATATAATAAAAAAAAAAAAACCTCAGTTAGGTATATATCTTCCAGAAGACTCAGCAAAGACTCATTAGCGCGGATTCACGTATTACTTCTCTGAATACCATTTTCAAAAGTAAATTAAAACCCTACAACCAAAATCAACCATTTTGTGCTTAGTTTAATTCAATAGCCAGAAAGACATTTCGGTACCAATTTAATGGCATCGCAGGTCCTGGACTCATGGCCTAAAGAATGAAAAAGTGCCACGGTTCAATTAGTTTAAAGGTATAGACGCTTTTAAAATCGACATTTAATTTTAGAGCACAGCTCTAAGGAGCCCGTTTTCGAATTTCGCGTCGTCGCCGTCGGCTTACCCGCCCCGCTAAATTTAGTGGGAAATTGAATTGGCGTTGAGGTCATGGGACGTGAATTTTCCCGCTAAATATAGGGGAGAAACTGAATTTGTTCATAGGTGACGTGACACGAAGTCATGTGACGTCATTTTGCCCGCTAAATTTAGCGGGGAAAATGGCGTCACATGACTTCGTGTCACGTCAGCCATGAACAAATTCAGCGGGAGGAGGAGAGGAGGAGGAGGAGGGGAAGGAGGAGGTGGGGAGGAGGAGGAGGGGAATTCCCTCCGCTCCTCTTTCTCAAGAATAATAATTGGGGTTGTGTGGATATTTAGACAGCGTGTAGTTGGTCAGGCATTTCAAAGTTGCGACGAGTCACTCGCTGTAGATGAGCAATTTAGCCAGTGCAGTACAACCGCTAGCCTGGGGTCTTTAACGTGCACCACGCAGTAGTGATACACGACCGCACGCCGGTACGATGTTCATCCAGATAGAAACGGGCAAGGGTGGGTATTGAACCCAGGATGCTGGATTCTGCAGCGCGAGCTTTCGCTCCACGTGCTCCGAGCCAGTGAGCGCTAGCACACTCGGCCACCGATCCCCCCTCCTCAAGAGCTGCTCTCTAGTTTCGCATTACCGAAATTTGTAAACGTCTTTCTTCTTTTTTTTCTCTCTCTTATTACGATTACTTCAATTCATCATGACCACAGCAGGGCAGGTTACTGCCATTTTAAATTCTAGTGTGCCCTTCTCCCCAGCATTGGCTTTTGTGGAGGCTCGCCAACGCCCGCGTCAGCGGCTCGGCATTTGGGTAAGAGACCTGGCGCGTGTGCACAGCGTCTGTACGTCACTGCTAACTACATCGTGAAATTTAATAGATACGAATTATATCTTTAAATAGCTAGTTGAATATGGTTCGGAACGAAACCTGTTCATATTGATGTTCCAACGTGAACATTTGGCAGAAATCTGTCTAGGGGCATAATCCTATTAAAGTCAACCTTGGGCAGGCCGTGTCGGACCAAAACGTCAGGTCATTGAGAAAAATTACTGCTTGGATAGACGTATTATTCTGATTATAAATATGTTTCAAAACGCTTTTCTCTTACCGAAACCAATCACTTTTCCACAAGGGCGCAGCCATCTTGAACGTCGTCGCTTCTGGTATGCGGTAAAACATCGTTTTGATCTCGCCACGCCGCTGGAAAGTGTTTACGAAAGATGCGCGATTGTCACACATTCCTGTTTTGCCTCACCTATATTTTCTTACCGATTCCAGGTTGAAATGTTTTATTATTTTTTTCGTCCCGCATACCAGATACGGAATCCGCGTGAGTGAAAACGGCAAAAAACAGAAAGCATCTACACTCAGTACGGTGGACTGCAGCCAATCTGGAAATCTAACCATCTTGAAAAAGGTGGTTTGACAAATCGCCATGTCAGGAAAGTCAACAAAATGAAGGGAAGCGCGATATGAATTCCGTTCTAGAAATTTCTCGCTAAAATTTTAGGTTACATAAAAATAAAAAAAAATAAAAATAAAAAAAACGGGAAGTTTTTTAGTTCCTAAATTTGCTCCTTGATGTTTTTTTTTTGTTTTTGTTTTAAGCGAATGTTTTTATTGGTAACACTGAAAATGTGACGACAGATGCTGTAATGATGTGGACTGTGCAACCTGCTCGCGACGGTTTACAAGAAGTTTGATGGTGCGAAGTAAGCGCTGGAGAGAGAGAGGAAATATTCATTGTAATGCTAACACCTGGTCCGGCGCTCGCGGAGTAGATCTACCACTCTTCCCCAAGCGTTGTGAACGCGCCAGATCAGTAGTGGCAGTAGGTCGGGCTGGTGTTTATTTGGGGGGGCAAGCCAACTCTCCCAGGAGGTAGGGTTGAGGTAGGGGGGGGGGGGGGTGGGGAGTGGTAGATATGAGCAGTATTTAAAGGGGTACGGAAACGAATATTGAAATATACAAATTTCGTTCGTAAATGTGTCAAGCATGACGGATAATAACCGTAAATTATAATCGCACGTTTCTATTTTTTAACGACTGGCTGTATTTTTCGTTACAAACGGTGCACTTGAGCAAGCGCTCGAAGAGAAGCGAACGGAGATCGAAATGCGTCATAAAACATCCAACACACACACAAAAAAGATTTCTTGCATTTGTGACGTAGCAAGGCTGGCGTGGATGAGCTTTGCTGTTGGTGGCGTTGTGGTGGCGTCAACGGGTTACAAGTATACAACCGAACCGTTTGAAGTGCCCGTGGGATGACGAGCGTATCCCGTGTCAGACGCTCGTCACCCCCCTTCGGAAACGACGGACGTGCGAGCCGGATCAATAGGGCACGAAGTTCCTCATCGTCCGGAAACTTGTGGATCGGCATATCGCTGCTGACCAAACCACAGTTCTCAGCCACGCAGAAGCGCGGCGACATCTCGACGTTAAAAAGCGCAGAACGGCTTCGATCTGTACAGCAAAGATACAGGAAAAACTCGGTGCATTCCTCAATGAGTCCATCATGGCATCTCGGTGGCTTCATTCGCAAAGGGGCAAAGGCTTCGTTATCGCGTTCAGGCCGAGGTAACTTAAACAGTTGAGCGTACTTCCAAAGACGGGCGCTGCTCCGATATTTAGTGTGGCTACGTAACGGTTCCTGCTACGTCATGACTACGTAGCAAGATTCCCAACTTTGCTAGATTACCTCTCAACTAATCTTCACAGACATCCACCAGGTGCACATTGAAAGATAGTTTAATTAGCTTTAAATATAGTTTTTAGTACCTTTCAACGAAAACGGGTGTTTTTCAGGTTATGCTGCAACATGCAACACATTTGAGCAAGAAAATGAGCGCTGCAATTTCGTTATCGTACCCCTTTAAAGTCTCCCGTAAGTTGCGGGGGGTCCTACAAACTGTGATAAAGGGGGACATGGGGTGGGGTTTTATTAAATGTACACAGAACCGACTTGATTAAAATGTGTGAATAACCCGGCATGTTTCTCAGGAAACAAAACCGACAGACAACGTTGATTTTCAATATTTTTCTTGTCAAGTATCAATGCTTAATAGTGTCCATGAAACATCCACCATTTTGTTCGACACGAGATCGACAGGGCTATACTCACAACATAGTTTTTCTCTCTATGGAGATGGCTTCCACCAAAACTTGAATGGGGAAAATCTTAATATTTCTGATTGCAATATTAAGTATTTGTGATTGTGTTTTCACCAACGCCAGAGTTATGACAGGGGGTCTCGACCCCCCTTGGAAATTGGCGGGGAGTCCGAGACCCCCCGAGACTCCCCT